TTGATGTTTGATTTCTCTGCAGATATTGTTTCCGAGCTGCCATCTCCGAGCAGGGATGTGGCAGCATATTGCTGCTGCCACTTCAGGAGTGCTCAGAGGAAATAGGAAGGATCTCTCTTCCTAAACAATCCTGGTTTATTTATTTTTTATGGCTCTGTTAGCAGATGCTGAAGCAGTTCAGGGCACGATGTAAACATGTGCTCTTCAATGGATGCTAAATAGCAAAGTGCACAATGAAAGGAGCAATTGGGAGGGAGGGTTGGACCAGGGCAAAGGGGTTTTGGGGGGGGTGGGTTGTGTGTATAGTTGAATTTAGAATGAAAAGAAGTGCTTGATCTTTCTCTATTGAAATCCTCAGCCTGCAGAGGGACAGCATGAGCCGGCAGAGAAAACCGTGGCCCCATGTGGTGTGCAAGAAAGGAACAGCAGTTGAAGTGCTGCGAAGTTGAAAGAGAACTAACCTCCCTGTTCCTCGCAGTGCCGGGAAGTGGCTGCTTTGTGCTGCTGCATTGAAGCTTTGCATATGTGTCTCAGCCTGACAAAAAGCCTCTGGAGGGGCAGCAGCCGCGGCCCCTGCGCTAATGAGGGCTGAGCTGGGGGAAGAGCCGAGGAGATCATCCCACCTAAGTGCAGAATTCCATGCGCCGCTCTCACCATTCCCCCGAACGCCAGTGGCAGCCCCAGCGAATCGTTTCTTTGCCAGGCAGCTGAAATGGGCCATTAGCTATCAGGGAAAATTGTCTTTGCTCCTTTCAGCAGATGGAGCAAATATTTTACAAAGCAATTTTACATAGGGAAAACATTTGTGGGAGTTGGTAATGATGGTTGTTTTACATGATGGTACCTTCCCTCCCAATGTGCTTTTCCAGCTCATGGAAGGCAAAATGAGCCCTTTTTTTAATTTTAAAATTTAGCAGTTACCAAGGAAATGTTTGGGCTTTAAATCAGGCTGCAAACTTTAAGTAGATAGAGGGTGTTCAGTTTGTCACTTCCAAACCCATCTCCAATTGTTCTGCTCACTGCTGTAGATTGTGGTTCTGGCCAGCATGTACCTAGCTGAATTAGGAAAAAAAAATGGCAAATCGGTTTAATTGGCAAAATAGGAAACAATGAAAGTTATCTGGATGGTGAGACACAGCCACGGTTTTCTTCTACATTTGCTGGTGTCCCTGAGAGCATCAGAACAAGCTGGGCTGGACCAATTCCCATGCAGGCAGCTGGAATAAGTTATCCCAGCTCCACTGATGCAATAGAAAGGATATACTTACAAATGGTATGAATTGTCCTAGTGCCACTGAAGTGGCATAAATTGCCACAGCTTCATTGACTTCAGCAGAGCTGTGGCAGTTCGTGTCGCTGAGGATCTCTCTGCAGATTCCATTCCTCTCTGGCCCACTCAGCTTTACTTATTTGGAGTTACCTTCTTCACTCTATTTGCTTGCAAGGTCTAAATAATTTCCTTTCCATCTGATTTTTAGCTAAAAAGCCCTGGATCTTTCTCATGCATTCTGCAGCCTCTCTCTGTCCCCAGGTCTTTTCTTTCCTATTTCTAAGTCTATTTCTTTTTCCTATTTATTTACTTCTCCTCTCCACAGGCCTTTCTGTGCTGACTGATCTGTCTCCAGTACATTTCCTACCACTGCCTTCAACATCTGCCACATTTGGGCCTAATATTTTGTTGCAACTGCCATTCTAAAAAAGCCTTTTGAAATTCAGCTCGCAGAAGGGTGAGAAATTGTTTTATATTTAGTGTAAGAGGTGTAATTTGGGGTTTTTTTCACGCTTATTCATTGTTACAAAAAGCTGCAAAACTGATTTGGATAGATTTAGAATTTTCTACATGACATAAGGAGCATTTGGGCTGCTTCTTTTTTACTAAGAAACATCAGCTGAAAGATGTGAACAAATGCTCCCTGTTTGTGTTGAGCCAGAGATCCTGGAATGTTTGAGGCCATATAAAGAGATAAAACATTGGTAAGCTCTGCTGGAGATAGTGTCCAATTTAAATGAAATTAGCCTACCGAGCACTGATCCTTTTAAAAGGTTTGATTTCACGAGTGGATGTTGGATCCAGGCTTGAATTTGCCTACTAAAAGTCACTATAATCAGGATTATTGCCGTTTTAGAGCTTACAGTTGCAAAAAAAGCTTCAGCTAGAATTCCAGGTGCTGATCCTTAAAGAGTGGTTGCCTGACTCCCTCCTGTGAACACCCTGATTATCCAGGCAGGTCTTGTTCCAAGTACTGTCACATTAGGGTTGAGCTCATGTTTTCAGGTTGTCTTGAATTAGTTATTTCTTTAAAAGCCTCTCTTTGACCGGTTTTGACTGAGTTTGGTGCTCACATCTTTCAGTCATAAGTGCTGAGGATGCTCTCTGTTGCAGAGAGGTTGAGGCTGCCTCATCCCTGGGAGTGTTCCAGGCCAGGTTGGATGGGGCTTGAAGCAACCTGGGCTAGTGGAAGGTGTCCCTGCCCATGGCAGGGGGTGGAAAGAGATGAGCTTTAAGGTCCCTTCCAACCCAAACCATTCTAGGATTCTATGCTCCTGTACACCCACATGGCCCCCACATACCTTCTGAGTTTGGTCTCTGTTCACATCCCCTTCAAATGCTGTTTGATTTTAAGCAACACTTGGGCTGTTGAGGAGGTTCCAGAATATTCTTGCCTGTCTAATGCCATCTGGACTGAGGGCAGTAGCATAGGAGGTTACTACAGGTGTAGATGAGGTGAATGGAGTCTGTGCCTTACCAGCAGCCTCCTTAGTGTACCAGGTTATTGTGCCCTTCAGTACACTCCAAAATGTGGAAGTTCTGCTTGATTTTACACCCAGTTTAGGGAATTTTCTTCCACAGCCACGTGTGAGCCTGAAAAACAGCTCTGAGAGGAGATACAGCTTGGAATTGCTGCCGTGGAAAGTCATGTCCCAGTTCATGCTCATTGTTCAGTTGTTACTTACACAAACTTGGTCACAGCACTCCCAAATGCTTCTACACATCCCACAGGGATTGCTGGTTTCCCCCTGTGATTTATCCAAAGCTTTCAGGCAGGCATTGCACACCTCTTCCTTTGCTTGTTTTTATATTTCTGTTTAAATTGCACAATCCCCAAAGTCGTCAGGTCTCAGGGCTGAGCCTGGGAGTGACAGGTATCTCTGACTGCACTGCCAGCTGCAAACTGATTTGTACAGCAGCAGTTCCCTGACATCCATCATAGCTCACATCCTCTCTCCAAAGCCATGTTTATTTTTCACCCTGTGATGAACCACTTCAGCTTCTGACTTGTTGGCTCAGCAATAATTCAACACAAATACAAACCAAGGCCAACTGATACTTGCTCACTGCTCTGCTGTTTCAGTCAGCTGAGCCAGCCAAAATCTAAATTCCTCCTTACAGGTTGTAAGGAAAGACCTGAATCTGGTTAAATTCTGGGTTTGGATCTGACATTTCTTGTGCTCCTTTGTTTTTGTCATGAGGTTGTGCTGCTTAGTATATTGATATACTGACTAAAACCATTTTTAGCCCTTTTTTCCTGAGATGTTTAAAGTCAGCAACATACTTTTCTCCTCAGTATATGATAGGAGCTCACATAGCCCAGATCAGCACCATTAGAAAATGGTACCTCAATATTTTAAAGGCATTTTTTTCTCAATTCTATGTGAGGTAAGGACAGCAATTATCCCCTTGTGATGTCTGGGGCAGCTGAGGCACAGACAAAGTCACTTTGCTGAAGTCTCAGGCAGACTGGAGTCAGGAACAAGGTATATCCAGGTCTAAAATTTATCCCTAGTTGCCCAGAGCAGCTGTGGCTGCCCCATCCCTGGAAATGTTCCAGGCCAGGTTGGATGGGGCTTGGAGCAACCTGGGCTGGTGGAAGGTGTCCCTGCCCATGGCAGGGGGTGGAATGGGATGACCTTTAAGGTCTCGTTCAGGCCAAAAAATTCTGGAATTCTTGTCCCATCCTCTTCCTCCTCATTCTGATACATAAATCTCAGCTGATTGTGAATTTGTGTTTTTGGTTACCTCACATTATGCGCTTGATGACAAAATTCATCTCTTCAAACTCTCTGCTCTGAAAAAAATAGCTTTATTTTTTTATTTCCTATTTTTAGCTGTTAGCCATAAGTTTCTATCATATTCCTCCAGAGCTCAAGATAAAATGATTGTGACATTGGCAGGATCAGAGGAGGGTTGGTCATCTGCTGAAGCACAGGGTGCTGAGGAGAGAGGATGTAAAAGAGAAGGCAAGAGCCCCAGGGGAAGCAGGGGGAGAGCTCATGAAGCAGCACGAGAAGGAGCCTGAAGCAATAGAGTCAGGGTCCTTGCACTTTATATGCTTTGTGTACTTCTGGGACACTGTGCAACAGTAAAAGCAATGCAGCTACTTTCTGTATGTAATGGGTTGGTTTGTGTGTGTGATTATATAGGCAAGGATTTAAAACTGGGAGAAAAGCTGCTTTAGCTATGACTAATCAAATTGTGACCAAGATAGAGGCACAAATACACTAGTGAATTGGTTACAGATATTTTACAGAGTGTAAAAGGATATTTCTTTACAAATGCTTCTGGTTGCTTATTCCTCTTACTTCTTAACTAAAGGGGGTTTGGATTGATAGAACAGCCTAAACATAGGCCCAGCAAAACTCCTCCTGGCACGTGTGACTATTTCAATATGCTACTTCAAAATCCAAACCATGTACAAGTTATTGACTGCTGCTATTGATCCCCAAGCAGTTACCAAGTGCTTAGCATTTTCACTTGCCAGCTCCAATTATTGATATAAATGATAATGCAGGAGCTCTGCGCTGGGGGGGGATTGGCTCTCTGAGAAGGACACTTTGCAGGAGGAGGGAGCAGAAAAATTAACAAAGGCTTTTCTGACTGTGGGTAAACAGTAACCACATTTTTTTTTTGCCTGTTGGAGGCCTGGTTTTTAATCACCCCACAAGCAGTTTTCATTTCTGTAGTAAAATTGCTTGTGGTTCTATTTAATTTGTTTCTGCAGGAGCTAGCTTTGGTGGAGATCTCCCAGGAGCTGCCAGGCCTTTTAGCACAGCACGTACAGCCACTCAATGAGAAACGATTCCCTACATGGGAAAAATTCCTCCAAACATTTCTTACTCAAGGTAAATAAGACTGCAAAGTGTTACAAGGAGTAATTAGACCATATTGTATGCCATATTCTTGTTAATTTTGGGCCCATTTCAAGATTTAGCTCCTTTGACTTCTCCATTATGCTTCAAATGTTCATTTAGGAATGAATTATAGGTCACTGTTCTATCCAAGCTTTTAACCTGTATTAATCCTGGATTAGCTTTCTTACATGATTCTGAATCCATAAGCACCAGCTCCTTAATCCTGGGCTACTGTACTAAAGAGCTTTAGGGAATTCCAGCACATGAGTTGCACATAGGTAAATGTGACAATATTTCATTTCTACATTTATTTACCTGCAGAAGAGATGAATCAAACTTTTGAGAGTATTTTATTAAGTAATACCAGTTAGTACCAATTAATTAGTTACCAACCAAGAAATGCCATCTAGGACCAATTTCATACTTTAGTTTCTCCTGACTAAAGGGATTATGGCATTATGTGCAATAAAAAGAGGAATCCAGAATGCCAAGCAGTTTTCTTGGTGATTTTCCTATGGAAAACCATGCTAGAAGGTGTCATTACACACCCAAGTCCTCATGTGGATGAATACCACAGGGCAGACTCTTAGCTAAGACCATGATATGGATAGGAATCTCCAATATCAGTTCACAGCAGGAGATTCCACTCCCACTGAGGTCCCAACATTGCATTTCCAGCTGTTCTGGGCCTGATGTTTAGCTGGATTCACTCAAGTACCCCAAAGCATGTTTTTCCAGTCAGATATGGGATATAGCCAGTGTGGATGAATACCACAGGGCAGACTCTTAGCTAAGACCATGATATGGATAGGAATCTCCAATATCAGTTCACAGCAGGAGATTCCACTCCCACTGAGGTCCCAACATTGCATTTCCAGCTGTTCTGGGCCTGATGTTTAGCTGGATTCACTCAAGTACCCCAAAGCATGTTTTTCCAGTCAGATATGGGATATAGCCAGTCTGGAAGTGGAACTGAACTGAAA